GTCAAAACTGGAGCCAGTTGCAAACATGAAAGTTGTAGGAAATTGTCTCAGCTTTCCAAGAAAAAAATTCTAAAACTTCATATATGGGCCAAACACTGAACAGTGTTCGGGCTACAGTACAGATTCGGACTTCTTCAGTGTTGCTACAATTTGGACTTAAAAATAGCCTTTTTAAAATCTTGGGCTCCATATGAAAGTTGTAGGCCTATTATATCTTTCCATCCATATAAAGTAGACTTAAATTTGAGATCTACAACTCCAGATATGACCCAATTATCGAATAGTATTCTGGTTTGGACTGCACCAACATCTTTTTTCTAAGTTTGGTCATCTCTTTGTCCTTTCAATTTCAATTCTTAAACTTATCAATCAATTCTTTCATTTATATGATAGGCCTGCTTTTAAAATGAACATTTACCATAAATTAAAGGTATCTTATATTATTAGATATGTTATTATAAAACATGTTTTAGTTAAAGAGTTATTGATACTTCAAATGCAAAATGATGATATAAAACCTTGATAAAAGTGCACTTTTAAGTACTAACCATCAAGCCCAAGCACCTTGAGATTGGTTGCAATGTTAGACCTAAACAAATTAGGTCTGGCAATCATAGCAGACTCAAGAGTCGTAGGTCTTGATGACATGCTAGACCTAAATGCCTTAGGTCTAGTATGCTAGACCCAAGTAATTTAGGTTAGGTAGTCATGCCTGACCCAAAAGTCTTAGGTCTGTCAATTAGGCTAAATCTAAATGCCTTAGGTCTAGTAATCATACAAGACTCAATTCCCTTGGGTTTGGTAATCGTGTCAGCCCACGCTACTTGGGTCTGACATCCAAGTAATTTGGGTCTTGTTAGTTTGTCAAACCTAATTAAATATAGATCCAGTACAACCTTTTGAATTTAAAAATAATAGAATAATATCAAAATATCCCTCATGATTATAAGAAAATTACACAAAAAACAGTGTGAAACAAAAGGAAAACCCTCATATACAAAGCTTATTTTTTGTCTTTTCCAAGGGTAAAAATGTATTTTAACTATTTAATAGTTTGTAAAAGGTCAAAAAAATCCTTAGACAATAGGTCTTATATAATCATCCAAAGACTACCATACCCCTACTAAAATGTTTAATAGTAATAAGCCTATGAAAAATACTGAAATCCCCCCATAACCAGCGCTCTAATTTTTTTCAACCAAAGGATAAAATAATAATTTAATTTTATGTAAAAAGACTATATTAGCTCCATCTCAAGCCTTTAGAGATTGGAAAATCCATTTAGATATTAGCTCCATCTCAAGCCTTTAGAGATAAGGTTATTACAATGAAAAGTCTATAGTGGATTGTGTCTTGGTTCACAGTATATTTGTATAGGGTTATCAGTCTCACAAAGCTTGGGTCTGGCAACCATGTGAAACTCATTCCTAGGTCTAACACCAAATATGGTTGTCAGACCTAAGTAGCTTGGGTTTGATGTGTTTGCCAGACCCAAGTAAATAACAAACAAACAGAGCATCAAATATGGTTGCTAGACCCAAGCAAACAATAAACAAACAGAGAACAATTATGCACTTTAGTTATTAGGAAAGAGAAGAGTAAGAGAAAATACAAACAATCAATCACCAACGACAATCCAACCATGATATATCTACACACGCCACACTACATGGAAAAGGGCACGTCTGTGCATCTAGTTATACGATGGATGACCAGATTTAGCCACCAGGAAACATCTCATATATCCTCTTAATGGCACGAGTGCCACCCACTCGGTAAAACGTGTGTAACACATGCTAATAACTTTTCTAATTGTGTGAAAATACTAAAACGCTCTTATAATTCTTTTAGTTACACAACATATCCATTTAAATTTCACTTTTGCAATCTATAGTAATTTGTTCCATTATTTAGTTTTACAAAGGTTGCAAAAAAATTATTATAGTGAAATCCCTGTTATGTTATGAAAAATAAACTAGAAAATACTTTATTAATATTTTTTTCAAGTCTATTAAAATAATGAAGAACAAATCTTACAAATTAAAAAGTTGAATGAAAATGAAA